AAACCTTAAAAATATTTTGTAACAATCAAGAGAATATAACGAATGTGAAAATATATTTTTAAAGTTTTTTCGTCAATTAAAAATGTGTACTAGGTGAAACTTATGACGAAATCAAAATGCCTTATATTAAGGACAGGAAGGAGTATATCAAATGAATAATTATCATTTTTTTACTACCTCTTTTACCCTAAATATCCCTTCCATAAAACCATCCTAAATCCTTTACTTCTGCACTCGGTATCGAATTTGGAACTTCCCGAAAGAGTCTAATCACCAAACAAACTTAGTTACATTCGATTTTGAGCAGCTATCGCATTAAACTATGATGACTCGGTCATGATATTATTGAGACAATAGTAGTCTACCGTCCACATTACAATAAATTGAAAGTACGAATCAAATTTTAAACGGTAATTAATTAATTAGCAAAACATTGTAAGCTTGAGTGGGTTCGTTTGGGAATTAAAGGCTGACCTAAATTCCTGGCTATGGAGAGAGAGTCATTGATTCAGCAAGTGATATCTCATTGGCTGCCAACGCATTGGAGTCATGAGGAAGAGGCATGCCACAGTTCTAACACACGTAGATGATAGATTCCTAAGCCCTAGGCCTAAAAGCTACCCTAGTACTTCTTATAGGTACTAAATTGCTACATATATTTTTAAAGAAGCCGACCAGATTCTTTTGTTTTCGACGACGGTGATCGACGGCTAATTGGCATCTTTTCTTTCTTTCTTTCTTTCTCGGAATCACTGTATATTCGAATGTGTCTCCGTTTTCCACATACATCCGCCCCATTTTTACGATCAAACTATGTACACCAAATTAAATAATGAACACTTAAAAAGTATGGCAGAAAAAAAGAAACTGAAAACCTGCTCAACTACTACTGTAAAGTAGTTCTGATCTTACTAGCTACTCTTATCATTAATTAATCGTTCTATTGATTACTATATTAACTTCAAATTTGTCGCATCCAATCCAAGTTGTGCCTTTCTGGGTCAAGGTCAACCCATTAATTAAGTTTATGTTTAGATAAGGTACATATAATATCGTTCATATCCTCGTTGGAGCATATATCAATCTCGTTATTTCTGTATTGCAAAGCATATTTATATTCTCCCAACTCAAAAAATAATCTATTGTGATTGCTGAAGACGAACTTGATTGTTGATATAAGAAAAGATCAACATCAGTTACAAAATCTTGAAGGCCTAAATATAAACTCACATGTGATTTTACCTCAAAACTAATTACTAATGAAGGGAGTATCATATAGGTATATATGTTAGGTTCAAGTATTTTTTTCCGTTTATGTATGACAAGAAAACATGAAATCATTTTTTTTCTTTCATTCATTTAACAGTATAACATTGAATAAGGTCAAGCAGGAAAACTAAGTCATGTGTATGTCCATCTCACAACATTGCGATTTTTTTTTTTTACATCTAGCTAGCATTATTGCTAGAAACCTCTCTCAAGGACATCATGGTTCCATCTAAGGTCAATAACCAATGTGTAGAAGAGAAGTACTAGTGTACTGGGTGGTAGACTTTTTCGGCTGCTTGAATCAATCAATGAACCAAAAAAGCTAGTGCAAAATAAGAAAATTGCCAGCATATTTCATTTGTTTCCATGCACAAAGTGATGGGGTATAAGGGTTGAGATTCCCCCCTAAAAAGTTATAGAAGAAAAAAAAAGGTCAGAACTCAGAAGAGAGGGTAGGAAATAGCAATAGCAATATAGCATCCAGGTACTATATAAATTGGCCATACTATGATAAATAATTGTTGCTGTAATATGTGTGTTTATGAATCTCAGATATCTATAATGAGGAAACATGAGTTTAGGCACGGTCAATGGCCGTTTGGCTTTCTTTGTGCTACAAATGTCAGCATCCTCTTTTTACAACCCATGTGATCACTACACTCATCATCAAAACCCTACTCATCTACAGCGCATCACTCACACAACAACAACAACAATATACTTATCCCACGCTGAAAAAAAAATTTATTTTGTTAAACTACACATTATAACAAAATTTGACTTTATTTTATACAGGAATACAAGTTTTTGACTTTCCTAAAGTTTTTCTCCTACTGACTTCAAGTCCATTTGCTTCCATAACCTGGTTATCATGTATTTCGTAAATTGTTGACGACACCATGCTTCGATTTTTTTAGATGCTTTTGGTTGATACATTGTTTTTTCCGTCTTAAAATGATTATTTTATTTGTTATACAATAAATATTACACACTGGTGGAGCTAAGATAGAAAATCAGTAGGGGCACATCGATTTACTTATGTATGTTAAAAATCATGGAAATAATCTTTTAAGAACATTATTAACAAAAGTAATTATACAAATTACTCACTTACAGCTCGTTTTGAACAATTTTGCTCCTGAACTCTTTCTTCTTCTCCAACATACACTAATTACATTAATTATAAATAAATTTAACTAAATTAATTGAACAATAACACAAAATATAAAACTAAAGTAATTATACAAAAAAATAATGATAACAAAAAAATAATATAAAAACAACACAAAAAATTGGAAAAGAATTTGTTAGGTATAATTAATTTAATTTAATAATTAGTATAGATTAAATGCAGAAATTAGGTATAATAAGTTTTTTATTATAATTATAATTTATTTGTTATATTCAAATGAAGAATGCACTAGATATTATATTAAAATTATATGATATATATTTTGAGTAGGTTTTTGTAATTAGGTAAGGGGTTGTGAACAAAATTGTCCAAAACGAACTGTAAGTGAGTAATTTATGAACTGCGAAAAGCAATTCAGAGCTAATAAATGTTAACAATCGACCAAAGGAGATAAAGTATATTTTGATATAAATATAGTGGATTTTTGTTTTCTTCTCCTCATCAACATCATAAAAATATGTTTTCTCTTAATATATGCAAGGGTTATGAGATAACAAAATTAATAGGTTGTTATGTGGTTATTTTCCTTTCTCCTTTTTGCTTGATCCTCGAGCTTGAGTATTCAAGATTAATTCATGTTGTATAGGAGTTACTTGAAAAATAGTAAGAGTATGTTAGAAAGTAGAATTGCTGGGGGGAAAAAATCTTATATAAAACAAACCTTTTCTTCTAAACATATTAAACAGACTTAATTAATTTTTGCAGTAGTTGATAACCTACTACTTCTGATAAAGCATGCATCCTTATTCAAATACGAAAAAAAATTGATAAAGCATAAGAAGTTGTGGGACTCAGCGGAAATGAGGTGGGGTTGTGCACGCATATACAGTAGATTAGTTTCATCATCTCTATTAGAAAGACATTTTTTTCTTTTATATTGTAAGCTTTGCCTGTTTGACATTTTTTGCTTGTTCCTTACAGAGGGGGCACGTGCCCCCACTGTAGCTCCGCCCGTTATTACAATCATTGCATGATCTATATATTTATTATTCAGTGTAACTAAGTTGAGGTAGAAAACTACTCCTATATTGATCGTTTGAGGACGAAGGGCAGCTGATTCGGATATTGAATGCAATTGCTCCAACGGTTTCGTGTCTGGCCAACAAGCTTACAATGGTGCTATCTATCAAAATGAGTGCTATACTACATCCATTGGAGTAATTAAAAAAATTAAAAACAATTTCTATTTCAAAAAAAAAAAATTTAAAAACAATTTCAAAAGTTTTAGGGATTCGACAACTTTATTATTATTATTTTCTTTGTTCGAAAAAAAAATCTTAGTCCTGGTAGGAATTAAATTAATTAGAGAAAAAAAGTTTCTCCAACATGCTACATGGCTACCAGAAGGATACCCAAGGCAGAATTTTAAGACCACCTTTACATTTTCCATTTTTCAGATTGCTACTAGAATGAAACTTAAAAACAAAATAACAGAAAATAAAAAAGGTATCATTTCTTTATGTACTTTAATTTCTCTGTAAAGCCCAGTTGACTTCCCCTCATAGGTCGGCCTGATGGTCGTGGATCGTTTATTGAGATTACTCCACAAGCCTGAGTGCCTGACCAATCTAGTTTCGTAGCTTTTTGGAAGTATATATGTTCGGATTAATCTTAAATACAAGTGAGAATTGCATAAATGAAAAAAAATCTATAGATGCGCCACTAAGAAATGTTGATTTTGAAGTTGATATGTTATATGTGAATTGTTTACTAATCCCAACGAGTCCTTATTTTAATTACTTGTATAATAGAGTATTCATTGTCAACAAGAATGCCTAAATTCTATTGCGTATCCTAAGTTCTGGTGAACTTTGTGGTTTCTGCTCATTGGCATCCATGATACCACTGAAAGAGAGAATCGGCCCATACGATTTGTTAGGCGTAAGATCTACAATGGGTCAAGGTTGAACCTCTATGCATATGTAATTTGGGAAGAAAGAAAAAATCATTGGAGTCCAAGATTACTTGTTTTTTTTTTTTTTTTTTTTTTCCCTTGGGTGGTGGGGAAGCGAAATCAATGATTCAATTCCATCATAGAGACGATGATATTACGAAGCATGTCACAGTTATTCAAAAGCATAAAAGGTTCGCTCGTATAAATAGCGAAAATCGAAGTATTCTGAAAGAGGAGAAAGAACAGAGAGACGTTACGCCCGTGGTAATTTGCAGCAACGGGTGAACAATGACGATGTCAGAAACTGTACATTGGGGTTGCACCGCAGAAAGAATTTGCGATGAGTGACGGATCCCGGTATGAACTGATAGGATACACAGATGAAGCAAAACCTAGAACAGACGCTTGCTTGTACAGTTGTGCTGGAACATTTTAGGGAACTACCAGAAGAAAGCCTGTTGGGTAGTTAACCAGCATATGCATGAATCCTAAGCCTCTATAGACAAGAACAAACATAACAAAATATATCTTTCCCCCTTTTTCCATGCGACAACAAAGACAAGACCTAAACCCTCCAGAATCGAGAGCAGAAAACACCTCAAACTTCAATACTAGATTACTTTTAGCATGATTCACACAACGATTCTGCTTTATAGCATCTACTCAGCACAAAAGAATGTGGCTTGTATGACTTGTATCAATAATATTGAATTTCCATACAGCTCAGTTTTTATGTTTCCCTCATCAATGCAAAGGCGAACTTCTATCTAAATTTCATAAGAGTTGCTTGCAAAAAGAATGAGAAGATATATAGAGGTAGTTGAACAAGTAAAACCATATTTTTGATATAGCTAACTTACACCAAAATTCCTTACAACATCACCTGTGAGATCTCAGTATATCACCCACCGGCTTTTACTTTGAAAGCCAATAAACAATTAGAAATAGAGTACAAGCTGCAATGACTGCTGCTAGGATGAGTGTATCTCTTGATTTCTTCCTTCTGATTGAACCTGTTATATGATGTGAAATGGTTTACAAAGATGCCTCTCCAAACAAAAAAAAAGGGAGGGAAGGTTAGAGCAGAGCTGGCTTTAGATATTTACCAATTAAGCCACGGATGACAGGAAATTTGTCGCTAAGTAGCTTCATTTTCCCTTGAACATCGCCAAACAAAGCTCTTTGGGAGCTCAAGGCAGCTTTAGTTGATTGAGCTTGACCAATGACATCATCGATCTATATTAAGAACAATGCAGAAATTTAGCGCTAAGAGATAGTGAAGGCGCTACTTTTTCAGCAGATTAAGAAGAGATTACCCCAAAAAGCTTTTAAAGGTAATGAACACTAGGTTACTCAAAAATACAAATGTGGGAATGGGACAGAGAGAGTACACAGCAAAATACACCTAAACACCGAGAGGCAATGCAGGATACAACTTTCTGGCGGAATGGTTTTTTCTACAAATTATATTAACAATAATAACTGTGTTTCGTAGCTGGAACAAAGTTACTGTATAGTCTGTGTGGGCTCCTAAATTAGTCACAACACCATATATATGCAAGGATAAAGGATGGAGTTCCATCAGAAAATGACCAGCTTTACTTCATTTTCCAGTAATGGTTACCACAAGAATCAGACATTAAACATTGCTATAAGTATAATACTCCAAAGTTCAAACATGCACCAGACAGATCTACATATAATAGACAAAAGGGAGATCAGCATTTGAAACTTACATGAGCTATGTTTCCATGAATGGTAGCTCTCTCACGTAATATCTGCATTTTCGGAGACATGCTACCAGATGCCTGAACGAATAGAGATAAGAACTTAAGATGCCACATCACAGCTGAAGTAAATAGGAAAAAAGCAATATTGAAACTTACAAACCTTGAATTCACTAATATCATCTCTGACTGAACTAAGAAGCTCTGCATGTTCCCTCATTGAATTTATGTTTCCTTTAATTCGTCTGAACTCCTACAAAAATGAGATAACTACAGCATGTCAAAATCAAGCTATCTGATACACATAGTACAATCTAGAAAGGACTACGGAAAAAGTTTCTTTTCAATAGAACTACATGCATGTAAGGTTTCATTGGGATGCACTGTAGCTGGCGACATCAAACAAATGATGGAAGACCACATACTAGATCAGATCAAGATATTGTAACAGAATCAATGCCCTCTTATCTTGTACAGTAACACATTAACCTCAAACATCAAGAAACCATTAAATATAGAGATGGCATGAACCAACTTAAACTTCAATGTAAGGTTCACTAAAGATTTGAAAGCTTCAAGCTCCATGAGTACACATGAGATGGCTAGAACTTTAGATGTCCCCATGGGACACACATGAGATGGCTAACATACATAATAGTACAAAAATCAGAACCCAAGATGACTGAAGATTGAATGAGATTTTTGTAGCTATAAAGACATGTAAAGCCTCAAGAAAGGAATGCTCAACACATCCAATAAAAACTGATACAGAATATATACACCCACATGAAGCCAAACCAAACAGATAACATGGAAGTCTGTTTGAATCAACATAATAGAATTTTCCAACAGAGTGATGTAAAGTCTCCCGCATATAAGTGCTTCAAATAGGCCATATCAAGGATACAAGTCTTTTTTTTTTTTTATAAATCAAAGTCAAGCATAGAGACCGTTTCTTGCTATAATTTTTGACAACTATGACACTTAAACCACTTTTCTGGTTTAGATCCCTTGGAACTATAAGTAAGAGATTAACCCCAAGTAAAATATATTGCTCCAACAGAACAAAGAAAATTTACAATTCATCTTTTTATGCGGATCATGGAGCAACCTGTTGAACCTCTCCTTAGTTGAGAATTACTACAACCTAACAAAAGGTACAAGCCTTAGAGGGATGATATCCCACAAAGTACATTCCATCCCAAAAGAATTAAGTATGCTAAACGACCTCCTGATCTTAATTTTATAGATTACAGTGATTTCAATATCTCACACTTTCTTTAATAACCACACCGGATCAGCCAACTTTATGCAAAATTCAGTGCTTGTGTATGTACATGGCAGGGTATAATTAAACATAGAAAGAACAAGCCAGCTAAGAGGAAAACCTGAGTAAATTCATGGAGTATGTCCCTATGCCTTGCCAATTTCTGATTAACTGAAGTAGCAGAGGCAGCAGATGCAGCGCATCGGCTCATTGAATCATTTACATCCAAAAGCTTTTCAAGCAAAGATTGAATCTCCATTTCCATGGATTTCCATGACCTGCTGCTCCCCATTGTTGGGGAACCACCACTCTCCACAAAACCTATTTCAACAGATAATCATTACAACATGCCTGGACTGAAATTCGAATTAAACCATACATTCATAGAAATGCACATCAACAATTTCCAATTTCAACAAAACAGAGGAACCAAAAGCATGGATTGAGATTGAGGTCAACTCAATTGCAACACAAAACCGAGAGAAATGAATCGAAATGCGGCGAATTCGATCAATGTGGAAAAACTGTACCTCCTCCTTGGGTGAACCTAGCGCCGAGTTTAGCGTATGACGAGAGTTTGACGTCGAGATCGCCTTCGATCTTGCGAGCTTCTCTCCGGAGCTCTTCCCAACCCGATTCCTGCAATATCTCCATTGTCGGATCACCCGACATTCGTTCCATTTCGGGGCTCTTCCCAACCCGATTCCTGCTTCCTTCTATTCCGATTACCTCAGGTAGATCCGAATCGTTCTGGATAATTCCGTACTGGCAAGAATCTTGAATCTCTAACCTCTCTCTTGAGTTCTTAATCGGTGTCTGTGTGTGTGAGTTTTTTTTACTGATCTGAGAAGAGACTGTTTATTTGGTTGAAATAAAATACCCCAATTACATGAATTATCGTAAGGAAAGTAATATTATGCATTTTGTTTGAACTTTGAACTTTGAGGATTTGAAAAATGAATAAATTCCATAGACTCGTCTTGTTTAAAAAGTACTAATGTTTTACCAATTTTGTATTTTTGAGTAATAAGAAAATTTTATAAGGGAAATAAAAATAGGGCTTTATTTTTTTTTGAAAAAAAAAATCAAACTAGAATTATCCTCATGCGTTGCACGGATTGTATTACATGTATTTCGTAAATTTATAAAATTATAATCACGTGTGAACCGAGCATTATCATTGTAATATAATAAAGTTTGTGTTAGATTTTGTGATATAATAATTCTTGTCCGTGTTCTGTTGTGCAAATTACATTCATTATATATATATATATATATATATTTTTTATATTAAAGATAGTGTAAATTTTGAAAGGTAAAATATTAGTATGACTCATTTACAATAAAATTTTAGAGGTAATAACTGATAAAATTGGTAATAACTTGGTAGTGTAATTTTGTAAATTTTTGCAAATATATTAGTAAATTCAAAATGAAAGTTCTAGCAAACTTAAAAGGAAAAAAAAGAAATATAAAGATATATAGTATACATCATCTATTTAGTAATATTTTTTTATTCAATTTCACCAAAAAATAATACATTTTATATATGCTGGATGGTTTTTCATCCATTGTTATAAATTTTGTGTTTAAAAAAAATTCCACCACAGTGAACACTGCTTAAAATGTGTGAAAAATCATTCTTAGCAACCAGTTAAAAAAATAAAAATAATTAACAATGAAAAAGATGCGTTTTTATTATTAATTAAGTGGATAATCAAATATATATGGAATATAATACAGGTGGGTAAAACACATTGTTGAAAAGTAAATTGAAATAAACAATTTACAAAAAAATTTAACACTTTAATAAAAGGGGTCTGGGGTTGATTGCGTCAAGAAAAAGACTATGAACTTAACATATGACAAGAAGACTTTAAACTATCTAATTGAGTTGACACGTATCGAATGAAAACTCTCCTTTAATATATAAATAGATTCAAATTACTCCAATATATTCAGTTTATCATAAGTAGTCATTTATGATTAATTACAAGTTTAAACTTTGTTAGAAAAGTTACCAATGTTCTATGTTCCATCGGTAAAAAAAAGGCAACGAGGCCACAAATCAAGAGAAGGCCAAGACCACAATTTTCTTTCGCCGCCACTTTCATGAACAGTTAAAAACTGAATATCTAACTGTAGAAGATCCATTTGTCTTATGAATGAGTTTTAATGAAAGATATAATCACGTAAAGACAGTTATGCTGCCAAAAGCTCGTTGTGATTGGTTAAACTTGCGTTTTCAAGATTTTAAAACTGTTAGTGAGTACAATTCATTAGTTTTTCGAATCACATCACTTTTAAAATTATGTGGTGATGATATGAGCGATGCTCTAATGTTGGAGAAAATATACTCCACTTTTCACCCCATAAATGTGCTCCTGATGCAGCAATTCTGTGAAAGGGGTTACACAAAATATTCTAAACTGATTCAGGTTCTGCTCATTGCTGAGTAAAATAATGAGTTTTTATTGAAAAATCCAAATAATGGACAAAATAGAGCGCATGGTGGTCGTGGTCGTGGCCAAGGATATGGTAAAATCGTTTTAACAGTCATGGTGGTCAAAACAAAAATACTACTTTCTATTAGAAGTTGGAAACTAGTAGTGAGAAAGATGGAAACAAAACAAAAGGCAAGAGTAAATGCTTCCGTTATGTATGAATAACCATTGGTCCCGTGTGTGTCGTACACCTAAGCATCTTGTCGATCTCTATCAAGAATCAATAAAGAAACAAGAAAAGAAGATAGAGACTAATTTAGTTGGCAATAATGTTAGATTTAACCATAGTTCTGTAGACAATGGTTTCGCTGATTTTACTTCTTTGGAGGTTGCCGATTTTTTTCTTAATCACCCTGAAGGTGAAACTAGTCCCATTGCTAATGACGGAAATGTCCAAAAGTAGTTTTATATTCTGCATTTTAAGTATAATAAATTTCCATTTGATGTTTTAAATAAAATTATTTCTATTAACTTTTTGTAGTGAATTATAATAAATGTAATGTTTTACTATTTGATATAATGGATTATATTTGATGTTTTATATCTTAAAATCTTTTATAATTTGATAGATGTAATATTGGAATACCAAAATGCAATATCTCATTTGAAATTTTGATTTTGTTTTTGAAGAAAAAAAAAATGGACGCTTCAATGGACAATGGCAAAGAAATATGTCTGACAGACAGTGCAACTACACACTTCATACTTAAAGAAAAGAAACATTTTTCGTATATCGTAATGAAAGAAACTCATGTTAGTATTACATCTGGTAGTACAAAATTAATTGAATGCTCCGGAAGAGAAAATTTAATTCTCCGAGGAGGGACGGAATTTTGCATTGATGATGCATTATATTCATCAAAATTTCAAAGAAATTTGTTGAGTTTTAAAGATATTCGCAGAAATGGATGTCATGTTGAAACAAGTTGTGAAGATAATATTGAATGCTTGTATATTATAAATATAATTTCTGGAAAAAAAATTATCTTAGAGAAATTACCTTCATATTCTCATGGGCTATACTATACAAATATTACAGCCGTTGAAACTTATACAACCGTAAACCCGAAGTTTATTAGTTAGGGTGATTTTGTCATTTGACATGACTGGTTGGGCCATCCTAGTTGTATTATGATGCAAAAAATACTAGAGAATTCTTATGGTCGTTTTTTTAAGAGCCAGGAGATTCTTCAATCAAATGAATTCTCATGCGCTACTTGTTCTCAAGGCAAGTTAATTGTCCGGCCATCACTAATGAAAATTCGATATAAATCTCTATCATTTTTAGAACACATACATGGAGATATTTGTGGGCCTATTTATCCACCTTGTAGGCCATTTCAATACTTTATGATTTTAATTGAGGCATTCACGAGATGGTCACATGTGTGCTTGTTATCTACTCGTAATTTGGCATTTGCAAAATTATTAGCCGAGCTGATTCGATTAAGAGCTCAGTTTCATGGTAACGACATCAAGACAATTCGTCTTGACAATACTGGTGAATTCACGTCCCAATCATTTAATGACTATTGTATGTCTATTGGGATTAATGTTGAACATCATGTAGCTTATGTTCACATACAAAATGGTATGGCAGAATCTTTTATCAAACGAATTTAACTAATTGCAAAGCCGTTACTCACGAGAACAAAATTGTCAATATGAGCTTGGGGTCATGCTGTATTGCATGCGGCTGCATTAATTCACATAAGACCAACAAATTACCAAGAATATTCTCCCCAATAAATGATTTTTGGTCAGGAACCTAATATTTCCCATCTTAGAATTTTTGGATGTTTGGTTTATGTTCCAATTGATCCACCACAACGCACAAAGATGGGACCTCAAAGAAGGTTGGAAATATATATTGGGTATGTGTCTCAATCTATTATAAAATACATTGAACCTAGAACTGGAGATTTATTTATTGCTCATTTTGTTAATTGTGATTTTGATGAGTTAGTTTTTCCGACATTAGGGAGAGAAATTAAATAGCCAGATAAGAAAATAAGTTGGAATGAATCAACATTATCTCATCTCGATCCTCGCATAGGCCAATGTGAACTTGAAGTTCAAAAGATAATTCATTTACAACGTTTAGGAAATCAATTGTCAGATTCTTTTATTGACCTAAAACGTGTGACTGAGTCGCATGTATCAGCTGCTAATGCTCCAATAAGAATTGATGTCCCTGAATAACTTAAAGGCACACCTAAAGCTTGGTAGACCAATTGGTTCCAAAGATAAAAATCCTCGTAAACAAAAATGAGTAAATAATGAAGATGGAAAACTCGAGATAACTAAGATTCTCGAAGAATCCTCAAGAATAAAAACTGCTGAAGAGTCAAATGACATAATAGATAGCAAACTTCCAGAAGAAGTTCATATACCTGAAAATGTTGATAATGGTAAAATATGAATTAATTATATGTTACTGGAGAAAAATGGAACCGGTCTGTAATAGAAGTTGACGATAAATTTGCATATGCTGAAATAATTAACATTATGAATGAAAACGAGAAGCATGAACCAAGGTCTGTAAATGAATGCAGACGTAGAAATGATTGACCAAAATGGAAAGATGCAATTCAAGCTGAACGAGATTCATTGACAAAACGCAAAGTTTTTGGACCATTAATACGCACACCAGAAGATGTGCAACCCGTAGGTTTTAAATGGGTATTTGTGCGAAAAAAGAAATGAGAATAATGAAATTGTATGATATAAGGAAAGACTTGTCGCATAAGGTTTTTCCCAAAAACCGGGTATTGACTATGAGGAGACATATTCTCCCGTAGTGGATGCAATAATTTTTTTGATATTTATTAAATTTGGCAGCACTTGAACAACTTGAAATGTGTCTTATGGATGTTGTGACAACCTATTTATATGGCTCATTAGATAATGATATCTATATGAAGATCCCTAAAGGATTTCAATTACCTAAGGGACAAGATCTCAATTCTTAATAACTTGATTCAATTAAGTTGTGTAAATCCTTGTATGGATTAAAACAAGCAAGAAGAACAGCTATATCATGGCGTTCTATAAAACAAACTCTAACTGCCACTTCTTCCAATCATGCTGAGATTTTAGCAATTCATGAAGCAAGTTGGGGATTTGTATGGTTAAGATCAATTGTTCATCACATTCGAGGATCATGTGGTTTGCTTTTGAACAAGAATGCCCCTACTATTTTGTTTGAAGACAATACTGTGTGTATTGATCAATTGAAAGAAGGATACATAAAAGGTGATAGAACAATGCATATATCTTCGAAATCCTTCTATACTCACGATCCTCAAAAGAGTGGTGAAATCATTGTTCAACAAATTTGATCAAGCGACAACCTGACAGACTTATTCATGAAATCATTACCGACTTCAACTTTTGAGAAACTAGTCCACAAGATTGGAATGCGAATGTCTAGTGATGTGCTCGACTGGGGGAGTGACTACACACTGTATTC